TGTTGTAGCCTTTTTTGGTTATAAAGACTAAAACTTTTCATGTTAATAGCCAAGTTTTGTTGTTTCTCTCCTATTTGAACTAAATTAATTAATTTCATGAGGAAAATTACAATGTTGATACTGTTGGGGTAAAATTCGATTTTTTTATCATAGAGTTCACTATGTTTCATATGAAATTGTCACATAAACAATGAAACCTTCATGAGACTATTTACCAAAGTTTCTTAATAATTTAGGCCTTGTGACTTGTTATAAATGGTTACTAGTTGAAAAAATCTAATCTATCTTCTGTAAACTTCTGGTTTGCAATTTTTTTTTTTTTTTTTGCTACTGTCTTTATGAATCACTACATGCTCAGAAGTTTTGTTCCAAGAACAAGTTCACATTCTATATCTTAACAAGAGTCCAAGTCACTGTTTGTATTTATGACTTTATTTTGTGTTGTATTTACGGTCCCATTTTAACACCATCTTCATGCTTCAGTGAGTGACTTTTAAGCTATTGATTCCTTTTCTGTGAATTAGGGATACAATAAAGCAATATCACAGTTACAATAAGATGCAAATTTAACAAATTTAGTTAATAAAATATAATTTAACAATAGGCATACATATATACATGTTTATGTGCACTGTATATAGTTTCAAATCTTAAATCAAGCACATAAGGGGTACAGTTATGGACACTTACTAGACAAAACCAAACACCTCAGGTATTGGTTTACTGGGTTTGAAGGCTTAGGAACATAGTCTCATAGGGCAACTCAGTCAACTGGTGCAATAAAGTCCATTAAAACAATGTTCTATAGCCTAGTTTTATGAGTAGTATCTGGGGTCTTAAAAGCTTGCAAGCAGCAATCTAATATACAACTATTAGTCTGTACTCGTGCGGAGCAAGAGAAAAAGAAGGAAACAGAAGACTCAAAGACGAAGATAGTCTACAGAACTAATAGTCTAGACAAACAACAGCCTCACCTACCTTGAGACCAGAGGAACTAGATGGTGCCCGGCTACCATTACTGATCGTTCTGACCAGAGACTCAATAAATGGTCCCACATAGAATGGGAGAAAAATATAGAACAAAACTCAAATTGCTAAAAAAAAAAAAAAAAAGGCCAGACTTCCTGGACTGGTAGATACTGGATGAACCCCAGAAATTATCACCCTGGGATACCCTTTAAACTTGGAATTTAAACCACACCCAGAGGTCACCTTTCAGCCAGATGACAGATTGGTCCACAAAATAAATATCACCCATGAGTACTGTGCTCCTCGAAATAATCATCTACATGAAATAAAATGGCCAACACTTTCCCTAGACCAAATATGAGAAGATAAGAAGGGACAGGGAAGCTAGATTAAGGGAAACACGGCAACCAGAATGGAAATAATGAGAATGCTGATATATTGTGAAAAATGTAACCAATGTCACTGAATAATATATATGTTATTATTGTCAGGTGCCTTCAAGTCAGTTCTGACTCATAGTCATCCCATGTATAATAGAATGAAACTGCCCAGTCCTGTATCATTGTCACAATCGTTGTTATGATTGAGCCCATTGTTGCAGCCACTGTGTTAACCCATTTCATTGAATGTGTTCCTTTTTTCACTGACCCTCTACTTTACCAACCATGATATCCTTCTCCAGGGACTGGTCCCTCTCCGTCTTGCTTGTAAGGAGCATTCTGGCTGTACTTCTTCCAAGACAGATTTGTTTGCTCTTCTGGCAGTCCTATGGTGTATTCAGTATTCTTCACCACAATACGTATGTTGCTATTTTGTTGTTGTTAGGTGCTGTCAAGTCAGTTCCAAATCAAAGCAACCCTATGTTCAGCAGAATGAAACAATGCCTAGTCCTGTGCCATCTTCACAATTGCTGTTACATTTGAGCCATTGTTGCAGCCACTGTGTCAATCCATCTCCTTGAGGGTTTTCCTCATTTTGCTGACCCTCTACTAAGTATGATGTCCTTCTCTAGGAACCAATCCCTCCTGATAACATGTCCAAAGTATATGAGACATAATCTCGCCATCCTTGTTTCTAAGGAGCATTCTGGTTGTACTTCTTCCAAGACAGGTTTGTTCGTTGTCTTGGCAGTCCGTGATATATTCAATATTCTTAGCCAATACCACAATTCAAAGGTGTCAACTCTTCAGCCTTCCTTATTCATTGTCCAGCTTTCACGTGCATATGAGGCGATTGAAAACATCTTTGCTTTTCAATACTTTAAAGAGGTCTTTTGCAGCAGATTTGCCCAATGCAATGCGCCCTTTGATTTCTTGACCGCTCCTTCCGTGGGTGTTGATTGTGGATCCAAGTAGAATGAAATCCTTGACAACTTCAATATTTTCTGCATTTATCATGATGTTGCTTATTGGTCTGGTTGTGAGGATTTTTGTTTTCTTTATGTTGAGTGTAATCCATATTGAAGGCTGTGGTCTTTGATCGTCGTCAGTCAGTGCTTCAAGTTCTCTTCACTTTCAGCAAGGAAGGCTGTGTCATCTGCATAAAGCAGGTTGTTAATAAGTCTTCCTCCAATCCAGGTGCCACATTCTTCTTCATATAGTCCAGCTTCTCAGATTATTTGCTCAGCATACAAATTGAATAGGTATGGTGAAAGGATACAACTCTGACACACACCTTTCCTGACTTTAAACCACGTAGTATTCCCTTATTCTGTTCAGATGACTGCCCCTTGATCTATGTACAGATTCTACATGAGCACGATTAAGTGTCCTGGAATTCCTATTCTTCACAATGTTATCCATAATTTGTTATGACCCACACAGTCAAATGCCTTTGCATAGTCAATGAAACACAGGGCGATATGTACAGAAATTGTTAAATGAGAATAGAATTTGCTGTGTAAACTTTCACCAAAAATGCAATCAAATATCTTTTAAAAGATTAAATATGGTAAATCTTGAGAAAGCCCCCATTAAACTGTAATGTGCTCTTAAAAGAAAGTAATATATGTGACAATACCTTTGTCAAGACAAATTACTCCCTTATGAAATGAATGTTAGCCTAGACCAACTGCCCAAAACTGTACTTACAGTTAATTTTTTTAAACTTAATACTTATTAAAGGTATAATAGAATTTCTGTGAAAAATGTTTTATCTTGTACTTCAAATGCATGAAATATGTGTGGAAAAAAAGGAGTTATCATTTTGTATTCATAGAAAATTGTCATATCTCCTTTGGACCATTGATAGTCTGCCAGGAACCACACATGGAGAGGATAACCCCAGCTGATGAGTGGCCCTTCTGCAAAAGAGGTACATAACCTTTTACACAGAAAGTATCTTAGGCTGTTTTCTCTAGAGGAGCTAAACCAGTGAAGTATATATATAAATACATAGAGAGAGATTTATTTCAGGGAAATGGCTCTTGGAATTGTGGACACTGGCAAGTCCCAAATCCATGGATCAGGCTGTAGGCTGGAAGCTTCTCCTAACTCACGTGGTTGCAGGCACTGATGAACCCAAAATCTGCAGGTCAGGAGGCAGGCTGCTGCTGTATCACAGTGTTGCAGGAGCTGGTGAATCCCGAATCTATAGGTCAGGCAGCAGGCTGAAGGCTTCTCACAGCCTAAGAACTCGAGTTAGACAACACAAGAAAAATGCAGGATGGAGAGAGAGAAAATTTCGCCAGTACATCTGTTTATATCATGGATTCAGGCCACACTCCCAAGGAAACACCTCTTCCAACTGATTGGCTGTTCACATCAGGTCACAAAATGAAGAGGGATTACATAGCTTCTGGCAAAAGATTGAGAATCATAGCCTAGCCACGTTGACACATAACATTAATCATCACAGAAAGAATCCAGATATTATTTCAAAAGTTCAGATGATAAACAATAGGACATGGATTAGGGTAGAGGAAGTGGTAATGTAAGCAGAAAATTGATGTAGAGCCATTTGGCACAAAAATTATAGTCTCTTCTTCCTACCTACATTCTTTTTTTACCCATTCCAATAAGGCATCTATGACCACCAGTCGGCCAAATTAGGAAAGTAACCAATCACCTCTATGTGGTCGTATACAATGATCAGAGATTTGTCCCACCCAGTTTACTTGACCGATTAGAGTCCTGATGTTGCAGTAGTTAAGAGCTTGGCTGCTAACCAAAAAGGTCAGCAGTCTGAATCCGCCATCTGCTCCTTGGAAACCATATGGGGCAGTTCTCTGTCCTAGAGGGTCATTATGAGTTGGAATCAACTCGACAGCAATGGATTTGGTTTAGTTTTTTTTATTAGCAGCATGGGACTCACATGGAAAACTATTCTCTTGCCTTCCATAACACCAGACTTCCCTCCTCCCTATGCCTGAACATTCCACTGAGCTCCAGACTCACAGTCAACTGCCTGCTACCATTTATATTTTGATATTTAATAATTATCTAAAACTAAACACTTGATTACTACCCATATCTTTTACTTCCTTAGTCTTCCTCATCCATATTAAAGTTGATCAACACTTACTCCAAAACATCCAAAATTCATGTCCACTGTGGCGACTCTAAGCCAAGCCACCATCAGCTATCAGTTGTTAGCTGCTACAAAAGCCTCCTAGCTTCTTTGTTAGGAGTCCCTGGGTGGTGCAAATGATTAAACGCTTGACTACTAGATGAAAGATTGACTATTTGAAACTACCCAGAGGCTCCTCGAAAGACAGACCTTGAGATCTGCTTCTGAAAGGTCACAGCCTTGAATACTCTATGGAGCAGTTCTACTCTGCCCATGTAGGGTCATCATCAGTCAGAATTGACTCAATGGCAAATGACAATAGCAACAACAGCTTCTTTGTTAGCTTATAGTCCATTTTCTACACCGGAATCTAGTCATCTGTTAAAAACATAAATGAGACCTCTTTGCCTATAACTCTTTTAATCAATGTCTAAAAGATGTTACATGACTGTGATCCTATCCACGTCTCCAACTTCTTTTACCATTCTGCCCCATGCTTGCTCTGCTTTGGCTACACTCAGTCTCCTTCTGCTCCTACAATGCAGTAAGTTTGGTCCCACCTTCAGGACTTGGGAACTTCTTATTCTATCCCTGGAACACGCTTACCTTTGCTCTTTACATGCCTGGCTCTTTTGAATCATTTGAGTTTTAGCTACAAATTCATCTACTTGAAGAAATGTTAATTATCACTCTAGTCATGCTTTAACATATTTACCTGTCTTAATTTCTTCACAGCAACTGTCACCATCTAAAATTAGCTTTCATATATTAATTTGTTGGGTTGTTATCTGCTCTCCACTAGAATGAAAGTTCCATGAGTTCAAGAAATTTGTCTTATTTGTCATATCCAAGTACCCAGAAGAGAACCTGTCAAATAGCAAATACTCAATGAATATTTGTTGTATGGATGATAAATAAATAAAATGAATAATTTGGTGACTAAAACTAACTGTGAGGCAGTGAACAACAGAAAGAATAAACAATGGCTGAATTTGAGAGACTAAATGACTAAGTAAATAGTGATGTCGTTACTGAATTATTTATTATAAAACACGTAGGATACAAGTTAGAGGACAAATCTAGAATTGGCTGAACAAAAGCCACCAAGATATCTAAGTAGTGACTTTTAGTACTTTGGCACTCAATAGAGAGTTATAGAAAGAAATGTACAAGTGAGTTCAATTGAATGAAGGTGATGATTAGTGAAGTGGTTGAATTCATCAAAAAAATTAAAAAAAATAGAGAGAGTGATAAGCTCTGAATGTCAAGGAATGGAAGATGCAAAGAGCAAGGAAAAAGAAAAAGTATAAGTCAGAGTAGAAAATTAAATTCAAATTTCTATAAGGTGGAGAAAGTGTTTCATGTGCAGAGAATTGTCAACATTGTCAACTACAATAAATATTCGACAGATACTGAGTACAACGAAAACTGAGGAAATTGAAATGGACTAGGATAATGAGCTCTGAAGCCAGTTTGTAAATGGTTGAGGAGTGAGAGTAAGATGAAATAGTGAAGACAGTGAACATAGACTACTCTCCAAAACAGTGACACTGAATGGTAGGGGAGAAAAAAAAGAACAACTATTTAAATATCTTGTTAACATGGGGAAAACTTGAAGACGTTTGTAAATCAAGGAGAGCTGGTCATAGAAATGCAAGAATTAAATATGTAAGCCAGAAGATGGTTAATATGTGACTAAGCAAGCAGGCAAAATGGATATTAACATAGCGACACTGAAGTGATTGAGAACTTTGATGGTTTTTATCACCTAAACATCATGGATATAAAGTGGATAAATAAGCAACATGTAGTATGGAGTGAACCTCTATGAAGACCATGTTGAGAAGGACATTCAACAGGGCATCAGAAGTTAACTTACAATTAATAACCTGCCCTTGTCAATGTCACCTGTCATGTGATCATTGCAAACTGTTTTACTTGCATTGTAACTACCTGTTCATGCATCCTGGACAGCCATATTGCCCACACCCTCCTTAATCTAAAAGACAAAAACAAAACAAAATAGATAGCCAAAGAGAAGTTACAGAAGAGATTTTAGTACAGTTTTTGATCCAGTTTAGCTCAAATAACAGTAGGATGACAGTATGCCCAAGACAGAACCAGTGTAATTATCAATACCACCTCCTTTGGCAGTTTAAGACCACCCAGAGGCAGCTCAAAAGAAAGGTCTGGCAAAATACTTCTAAAAAATCAGTCATTGAAACCCTATGGAGCACAGTTTTACTCTGACACGCATGAGGTTTCCATGAGTCAAAATTGACTAAGCAACTGGTTTGGTTTTATTTTTGTTTTTTCTGTTCGCCTCGAATATGTCCCAATATTGAATGATAAATATGATGTATAGTCATCCTGCATAAAATATATAATAATATATCAACATATAACATTTTAACAATAATTTACAGAAGAGCTAAAATAAAATATCACATAATACATCGCAAAAATGTTCAGAGATTCATAACTAAGAAGAAAATGGGTAGCAAGTCATATCCAAGTTTCTGGCTTGTCAGGTTAAGTGCCATGGAATGAAATACTATCCACGTGCATTCAGCACTGGGTTCCAGACACTGTTCTACCCCGTTACTATGTGCTCGCTCGTTTAATGCTCATAACAAACCTACCAGGGAGGGCTTTTATAATCTTCCTCTGGCAGGAACTGGGAGATTGAGAAATTAACTTGACCAAGGTAACAGAGCAGTAATTGATGGGGCCTACCATCAAAATCGGCCAATTTAATTCTTTTAACTTCTACTTTTAGAAGGGTTGAGAGTAGAACTTTACGGTCCTGGTGAGTGCAGAAGGAAGAAGACTGGGATGTGGTTTAGAGGATGAATGAAGTCAGTGGGAGAATCTGGACTATGAAAATCAGAAAGAGACATGAGAATGGAATTGAAGCTGAAGGCAAACAACAGGTTCAATAAAGGGGCTGATTTAATAAAGATCAAAGATTGTTTTCAGAAATAAGGATTTCAAAGTTTGAAACCATGTACATAAAACCATGATAAATATTGACAGACCTGGAGAGTAACCATGCACTATTAACATCATCTCAAGGAGAGAAATAATAAAGGACAAATGATTATTTTATGAAATAAAATTTAAGGCAAAGCTTTATCTCTATTTTAGGCAAAGCAATATTTTGTTTTATTGTGCAATATATAATAAATATAACACACACACACATTCAGTCATATTGAGATACTTTTTTATTCTAACGTCAAGTTTTTAAAAGGAAAATTCAGAAATTTAAAATTGGAGGTTTAACAATCTATAATTTTCTTGATAACAGTATAAAACTATCAATGTACTTAGAATAATTTTGTCTAATTAGCAGTCAGAATGCTAAATATGTAGTTTGAACTTATTATGAATGTAAAGAACAGATTCATGCTTCCAATAGCTTAAGACAAATATTACATACTGTTCGATGTTCTCTAGAATCCATAAGATCCCCCAAACAAAGGATAAACCTCGAGTGGCCTAATTATGTAATGAGTGAGACTTTACTTTGCTTTTATTCAAAAACTGTTTATTTCTTTCAGATGTCCCTCGATAGAAACAGATTTCATGACTTAAAAAGTAAACCTATTTAATCAACTGATATTGTTTGTCCCTTTGTTTGTTCCATTAATTGCTACATTTTTAACACCAAAGGAAAAACTACTGAGCCTGTCCTTAAAAGACTTTATTTTTCTCTCATATTAAAGTGAGAAGGATTATATTTACACAGACATTGAAATAAGCTTGTTTGAGTTAGGAGAGAAACAGTGACAAACCCATGCCACACATTACATAACAGCTTCATGAGGAAGCAGCAGTTTGGAACTCAGAGGGTTTAGGAAAATAAATTTGATAATGTGCATTGTACCTCTTTTCAGCACAAATAGGCAACACCATTATTTGTCAATAGTAAATGGCTGTGAATGAAAAAAATTTCTTTTGACATGAATTTACTTTGCCAACTTTTCCCATTAGATTCATGAGCATGCAATACATTTAAAACTGACTTGCACTGTTCAGCCTATAAAAATTAGTTCCTTTTGTATTGAAAAATTTAAGGCCTATTTGACTGTATTTAAATAATCAAAGAACCTAGTTATTTTTTGTTGTTGTTGTTTCTTTTTTCCTTTTATTTTAGTTGTAAAAATATAGATAACTCATTTGCCAATTCAACATTTTGCACGCGTACAATTCAGCGAGGCCAATTATGTTGTGCAACCCTCATCAATATCCATTGCCAAAATTTCCACCACCATAAACGACACTTCCTAAACAATGAGCCCCCCATCCTCACCACCTTCCAGGCCCTGGTAACCACTGTTAAACTCTGATCTCTAAACATTTGCCTATTCTAGATATTTCATATTAGTGAAATCATACACTATTTGTGCTAATTTGTACCATTTTAATTTATTAGCAAAAGAAGAACCTGTAAATAAACAGAAAATAGTGAAAACTGTGGGTTAAGATTCAGCAAATATCGCTGAGTAACTTCATACATTCTTAACGCCTTTGTCCTTAAATGTCTCTACTTCTGCTACTGAGAAAATTTCCTCATTTGCGTTACTTTCTTTTCTAGACAGCAAAGCTGTCTAGAAACTTTCAGCTTCCTATAGTTTGGGGGATACCCTCAAATACTGTAGACATTTATTTTAACCTTGCTTGAAGTTTCAAGATTGCTTTTGGACAGCTCCAAAATACCCATCACATTTCATATCGAAAGCTATTTACAAAATGGTAGTGCATTTACCCAGCACCCTTCGGAGGTCTCTAAATGCATTTTCATTTCCACTTTTAAACTGTGTCTACATTATGACAAGGAAATCCAATGAAAAGTGAAAAATTCACCCAAAATAATGTTTTCTCTAAAACATACAAAACAATTTGTTTTGGGTGGATTTTCTTTTCCAACTAAATCACTTTGGGAAATATTTAATTTATTTCTGGCAATGAGAATCCCTCCAAACCTGTAGGCAGTTAATCTTAAGAGTACATGGAAGGGGCAGAGAAAACTTAGCTCATAGAATCCTCTATTTTCTTCATCTCCTGGTATATTTCCCTCATTTCATAGCGTTAGTCAGTGTCCAAGCCAATTCTTACTCCAATGGGAAATTTTCAAAATGGTAGTCTAAATTAGCTCCTTTGATATTAAATATCATCTTCATTATTTTCCAATACGCTTCCATTTATATCCCTGTCCACCAACGTGAGTATAATTATCCTAACATAGCAGTAATACAGAAACAGAAAAATTCCTGGTGCAGGTTTTTCAGAGATTGCTTAAATATCTAAAGGTTATGGGCAATATATCCCTCATGACCCATACATCAGATATTTCAAGTTACTGATGAGTTTTATCTACCACCTAGAGGAACAGGTGCCTTGTCTTTATATTAATTTGTCCTTTACTTACAGTGAATACAGTTTGCTCCAGTGAATACAATTGGTTCAATTCTTTGAAAGCACAATAGCATAGTAGTTTAGGGTGGGAGCATTGGGGTCAGGTCACCTGGATCATGCTGAATCTGACAATATGTGTGTGTCCTTGGGTAATTTAGTTAGCCCCTATTCTCTTCAATCCCCTCATCTAAACACTGGAGATAGTAATAGAATCTACCCTATAAGGTTAGTGTGAGGACTGAGATAATGTACACATCTTTCTTATTAAAACCCCAAGTTACCAGCATACAACCAGAGCTCAAGCTTAATAAATGTCATATCATTTCTGTTGATGTTATTATTTGGTTCTCTTTTTCCTTTTATTATTATTTTTACTATCCTTAGGATAAGGATATTTCCTCATAAAACCAGTTAACCCGAGTAGGTCATTGTTTAAATACAGAAGTATTCAAAGCTGGTCTACAGTTTACATATATTCTACATTCATTCTGGTTCTTTTTAAACACATGAACCACGAAGGTTTTTATAATAAGGTTTCTTAGTTAAAATGTCCCTGGGTGGTGCAAACTGTTAACACATTTGGCTGCTAACAGAAAGACTGGAGGTTTGAGTCCACTCAGAGGTACCTCAGAAGAAAGGCCTGGCAATCTACTTCTGAAAAATTAGCCATTTGAAAACCCTGTGGAGTACAGTTCTATTCAAGGGCAACTGTTATCACTAGTTAGGATGTTTGCCATAAAGTAGAAATAGAAACTTCTTCTGTAGGTTCTCTCTGTCTTTTAAAACCTCAATATGAACTCCCCAGTCCCTAGATGTCACTCAGATAATGTTATTAGGTCCATAGAGTTATATTTGTGTATTGTCTCTTTCTTCTTAACCATTTGAAAATATTCTCATTGTTATAACATCAGAGTTTCAATATGAAGAATTCCTTGTTGTAAACCAAGTTATAAAAACAATTATTTCGATGAAGGGAAGAGCTAAATAAGACAGAATTAGGTCAACACAACAGCAAAGTTAATCTTTCAGGAATTTTGTGGATAGAGCTTTGGGTTTGATTCATTTTCTTTTTATTGCTGCTAAAAATACAGATTTCTAAAATCTAAACATCAGTGGAAAAAGTCAACGTTATTACATTTGACTTTTGCTTAAAGGCTTTAATATATATGTATCTAAAAATTTTGTGCAATATGTGTAAAGAATAAAATCACACAAAGTAGTTTTCTTCCCATTACCTTCATTTAGTTCCCAATGCTATAGATGATATCCAATTTGCTTCCACCCTATACTACAAAGAGTGTTCACTAATTTATTGATTTACCTCATTGTAGTTTGCAGAATTCTAAAATGGTACCCATGAACACCTCTGGTGTTATACCCTGAAAATCCCCTCCCTTCCCCTTGAGTGTGGATAGGACCTGAAACTTGCTTCTAACCAATAGAATATGGCAAAGGTGATGGGATGTTACTCCCACGATTACGTTATAATACACTTATAAGACTCCTACTTGCTAGCACGCACAGCAAAGACTCTCCTGATAGCCCTGAAGAAACAAGCTGCTATGATGAGTACTGCCCAAGGAGAGAGAAACATGGCAGGGAACTATGGGAGTGACTAGTACCCCAGGGCAGCCTCCAGCTCACAGCCAGGAAGAAGTCAGGGCCTTCCGTCATAGAGTCTCAAGAAAGTGAATTTAGTCCACAACCTGAATGAGCTTGGATGTAGATTCTTCCCCAGCCAAGAATCCAGATGAGAATGCAGAACCAATGAAAGCCTTATTTGCAAACTTGAGAGACCCCGAGCAGAGGACTCAGGTAAGTCATGTCTGGAATCTTGGCCTTCTGGAACGATGAGACAATCAATATGTATTTTAAGCCACTAAATGTGTGGTAATTTGTTACACAGCAATAGAAAACTACTACACTCATTTTTCCAAATCACATTTTGAAAATTCAGGAAATAGCAAGAGGGAGCCATACCATATTTAAAAAATTTCCCATAACCTCCTCAGTCTTTCCTCTCATATCTGGCTAGATTCCACAAAATCTGGTAGTTTATAATCTCTTCTTTTTATCTTCAGCTATCCTTCGGTGAGAGTATGGATGACTTCATGGATTGAATTGTGTCCCCAAAAATATGTTTCAACTTGGCAAGGCCATGATTCCCAGTATTGTGTGGTTGTTTTCCGTTTTGTGATCTGATGTAATTTTCCTGTGTGTTGTAAATCCTAATCTCTGCCTGTGGTTAATGAGACAAGATTAGGTTATGTTTAAGAGGATTAGGGTGGGATGCAACAGCCTTACTTAGGTCACAGCCCTGATCTGATGTAAGGGGAGATTCTCTGGGATGTGGCCTGCATAACCTTTTATCTTATAAGAGATAAAAGGAGAGAGAAGGGAACAGAGAAATAGGGACCTCTTGTCACCAAGAAAGAAGAGCCATGAGGAGAATGCCTCCTTTGGATCTGGGGTCCCTATGCTGAGAAGCTCCTAGACCAGGTGAAGATTGATGACAAAGACCTTTCTCTAAGGCGGCAGAGAGAGAAAGCCTTCCCCTGGAGCTGGCACCCTGAATTCAGACTTCTAGCCTACTAGACTGTGAGAGAATAAATTTCTATTCGTTAAAGCCATCCACTTGAGGTATTTCTGTTATAGCAGCAGTAGATAACTAAGACAGATGATATTTAAAGAAATGGAAACAGAACTTACCATTCCGTGTTCCAAGTTTCTGCCACTAATCATTTCACCCATTTCAGCTGTAGTCAGCTCTATGTATAGAAGA